TAAAACGTCTATACACTAAGAATTGGTTTAGGAGCTTTAGGTCTAAAATGGCTCTCCATCCCCCCAATGATTTTGGCACTAGGAACAGGTTTGAATAACCCCCCTTGCCCGCCTGGTCTCCAGGGACTCTCTCTACGGCCGCAATATCGAGCAAGTGCTGGATGGCCTGCCACATCTGCTGGCACTTGCCAAAATTCTTGGCTGGAGGGAACACCTGGAAACAATTGGGGGAAGGGAAAGGAATTCCAGGCGCAGACCATGGGTCACCGTACTGAGGACCCAGGCATCCATGGATATCTCCGCCCAGGCGTCTGTGAACAGAGCCAATGGGTGGGGCCGTGGGTGACCTACTTGCCCTGGCGGAAGGGGCGACCACCCCCTCCTCGAAAGGGCCATTTGCCCTGAGGCTGGAAGTGGTCTCTGTCCCTATTGAATCCCCTGTCGGATGGCCTATCCGCCCTGCCCCCCCCTCCCAGGTACCTGCTCTGGTGGGTGTCCTGTTCCTGTGGTCGCTGTGCTGACCTGCGATAATAGGGCGTGGACCTCTGCTCCGCCTTCTTAGTCAATGTTGGAAGCGCCTTCTTCTTGTTCACATCCTCCACCAGGATTAGGTCAATGGAAGTCCCGAAGAGGGAACCCCCTGTGTAGACAGCTGTTGCTAGTTGCCACTTCGCCTTGTTGCCTGCCTGCCAGCCACGGAGCAACAGGAGGCGACGTGACGGATGATGCCATAGCCCTTCATGGCATTTAAGGTAGCGTCAGACGTCCTCCGGTGGAATGTGCGCCTCAATCTGCTCCATCCAAAGGATGGCTGTACGGTTGAAAAACAAGGTGGAGGCTGCCGCTTTAATGGCCCAAGCCGATGACTGGAAGGTCTTCCTGAGGATCATCTCCGCCTTCCTGTCCTCTGCTTCAGGTTGTCTGCCCCATCCTTGGGTACCAGCGATCCACCAAGGGCATCTGCAATGCTTGGGAGAAATCTGGTTCGATGTTATAGAACCGTCTCTCATTGCTGCCTGGGATGGGGAAGGCTCCAGGGGTCTCTCACTGTCTCTTAACGACTTCCAGGAATAGGTCTGGAGCAGGAATCTCCTCCTTAACCGCTTTGGGCTCGGAATAGATCATGCCCTGGGGCTTCCTTGCTGGATCACCTTCCTTGGCCCCCTCACCCCCCCCCAGCTGAGCAGTGGCACACGCCTTGCGTAGGAGGTACCGGAACAAGTTAAGAGGGAACAATCCCGTGAAGGCTGGAGTTCAGCCTCTCATCCTCAGAGAGATCTGGGTCATGCTCGCCTTGTCCCCAGGACACAACCCTCACTTGCTAAGGACGGGAGCCCAGGGGGGCGGACTGGCTGGGAAGGGCTCTGTGGCTGGGCTGATGAAGAGCTGGGGACTGTGACCTCATCCTGAGAAGCAGAGTGAGGCTCCTGGTGCTGCATGCTTGCAGCCACACCAGATGCAATGGTTCTTTCAATGAGGTTCTGAAGACCCACAGACAGGTCCTCCGTATCCAAGGAGTCCCAGCTGGATGCCCCAGGCACCTGACTATGGCTGGGGGTAGGTGCCAGGATTGGCCTGGATGGATCTCTACCTCCCAGCTGAGTCTCTAGGGATAGAAACCCAGGCTGGTTATCTACCTGTCTTCCATGGAAAGGGGATGGGAGCGGGCAACCCCCCACTGCACTCCCTCAAGGAATCTGGTGACCTAGGGGGAGAATCCTGTCTGGAAGAGCCACTTAGGGGTGACCTGGACCTGGAGGGGGAAGGGCTGATCCTGCCCTGCAGAGCCCTCAACCTCTCTGCCCTGGAGAAAATTCTCACCAAGCCTCCTAGCTTTGTCTCTTTGGCTGGCATGGGAAGGGCAAGTGTCAGCCAAGGCTTTAAGCCTCCTGGAAGAAGTCCCATCACAGAACTATTTACGACCACTCCTCGTGCTTCCTGCGATTCTCTCCTCACCCCCATCTCCACAGCTAGAATGGCAAGGTCCTCACTCCTTTCGTCGTGCGCCCCGAATTGTAAAACACTGCTGGGGTTCGGGGTTGCTGCGGCTTCTCAGGGAGTCTGCTGCTGCAGCGCTGCTTCCCAGCTGCCTCTGCCGTTCCTGGGGCTTCCAAGTGGCCCACGCG